AACTTTGCAAGATGAGTGCAACAAAAATCAATCAACACATTGATCAGTGAAGAGTTTCAGTCCCAACGCTTTGAATCAGGTTTGAATAATGTGATGTTTGATTCTCCACAAATATAAAATGTATTTAAACTCAGAGAATCGGGTTCTGAGTGAAACTCTTCACTGAGGAAACTAATAAAAATAAACCTGTTTGTTGTTTATCACTGTCACACGTTCCATTAACATTCAAACCAAACTGAAAAAGCAGGAATCTACAAAAATAGACGTCAGACATTTTTCACTCCCCACGTCGAGTCGCTTGTTCGACGCCGCCGCTCGTCCACCATCTTTATTCACATATCAACAGACGCTGCTGTCACTTATAAAAACCACATGTTTGAAAAGGAAAAGATTATCTATGAGGCGACGCTTGTTTGGGGTCAGAGGTCAAACGAGTCATTCAGAGTCACATCATCGCGCGATGACGAAGACGCTACTCAAACGTCCCGAGCAGAAATAATTACTGAGTCCGACGCGTTCCCGAAAACAAAGATCGGCTGATCACCTCGTCTTCACTGGTCAGTTTGTTACCATGGTTACAGATGTCTCAAAGTTTCTGTGTTTCTACAGTCGCCAGTCATGTGACCATGATTCACTGATGACATCATCAATGTGTGATCTTGACATGACAAAGTCTCTGCTCTCGTTCTGTGCTCTCATTGGCTGATGATGAGCTGTCGAAGGTACGACTGCGTGAGGCCTCGCAGCTCCTCCAGCGTGTAGTCCTCCGGCATCGGTAGGCGGGTGATGTGTGGAGCCAGCTGGGCGAGCGGGATGCTGAGGGAGTCGGACGCACCGTCGCCCTGCTGCAGACTCAGCACCACACGCAGGATGTTGGAAACACGCTTCGCCATTTCTGCACGGAGGGAGGAGGGACAGAGGAGAAGTCAGAGAAACGACAACACATGTTCCACTGATCCGCTCATGAGGTTCTGCTCTGATGTCATCACCAGGAAGTGATGTCACACAGAGTCAACGACATCATTTCAACTTCAAACTTTCACGTCCTCATGTTCATCTAACTTCAGCCAATCAGGGGGCAGATATGTTTACTTGGAGGGAGGAGCTGCGGACTCTTCTGGACTCCAGCCCCTTTACACCGAATACTTCTGAAGCTCTCACCTGATTGGGCGAGCCGGTCTCTGGCGGTCCTGCACGGCAGGAGTTCGATTCTGCCACAGAGAGACGTCACGTCGGTGTAGAGACGCTCGAGCTCGTAACCAGCGTTTTCCATCTGTTGGCGAAAGCAAAACACAAACATCAACATCGGTACATTTACTCAGTTACTTTGTTAAAGTTACTTTAGTTACTCATTAATGGAGCCTCAGAGTTAGTCAACACTTCCTGCATCTACTTCACAATAAAAGTCTGTCTGTCTTAATTAATTACCTTTAATCTGATATTTGATTTACATCTTTTAATTTATATTTTCATCAGAGA